TATATATATATAATATATGCATGTGTATGTGTGCGCACATGACAATTTTCTATGAAAATTTTAACAAGAGATAGAAGTTTTAAAAGTTTTTGTCTTTACAATTTTATAGCATATGGTTTTACATGATGTGTTTTATACTAGTTAGATGTAAGAAGTAGATATAAATATCTTATAATAATTAAAATTTCGAAATAATCGTGATAATCAGATAGATACAAGCGTGTGTATATATGAAATTATATCTCTGACTTTTCCTTCTTTTTTTAGGTGCAAGCTTTGCAGAAGCACTTGGCATGTGCACCATGCCTCAACCATCAAAAAAACGTCATAATAATTCGCCTAATCTAATTCCTACTAAGTCGATTAAAACGGAACGGCTGTCACCCCCGATTAGTAACAAAAATACGCTGAAATCTGAGTCGGAATGTGGCGAAAGTTCAAATGTAATTTGCATTTTGTCATTTAATATTTCCAATATTGAAAGAAAAAAATAATTCTAACGATTGAAAACTTAATTTGCAGCCACTATCCCTTTTAGCGCCGAATGTGAAACTAGAACCACTGAGTGTAGATTTGTCATCCACCTTACCTGAAATCAGTCCCAATTACAAGCCACTGCCATATATTAATCCAATTCAACGTAAAGAAGACGTTAAATCTATGGATAATATTATTTATGTCAAGAATCAAAGGTTATTCATTTGTTCTGATACATATGGCGAAATAATATTTTATTTCGAGATGTCTATTATTGTATTGTTTATCCTCATTCCAGGACGAAAGTGTACTCTGGTAACAAGGTTGGTTACACAAGTGTCCCAACACTATACGAAATGTGTATCAGAGTATTGATAGAAAATATCGATGGTAAACACTTTTTTCTTGCGATTATTATGCATTAATATATCAATATTTTAACAATGAACATTTTTTATTAACAGCGCTTGAATTCACCGGCGGTGTACCGTATGACATATTAAAGCCAATCCTAGAACGCGCCACGCCTGATCAATTATTTATGTTAGAACACTATAATCCATATCTTATAGAAGATACAGACATACTGTGGCAATATCATTGTAATCGAGAGTTCAGGAGTAACGATAGGCAGGAAATGGAAACGTGGCGCGAGATGTACATGGTAGGTTGAATTATAAATCTAAAATGGTAACGAAAAGAAATATGTGAAGATATTTGTAAGATGATGAATCGATATGTTTTATTCATATCAATGTTATAATGTTACACAGCGCTGCTTGGATGAAAGGGAAGCGAAACTGAAGACGCTTACCGCCAACATCAAACAATCTATAGATAAATCTGTCCCAGTGAGATCCACTAAACTCGCATACGTGGACAATGTTGTGAAACCACCGCGGAACATATTGAAGAAACAGGCAAAGTATGGCACGGCTAATGCTACGCCTGCCACTATCTCCAGTGTAAAGAAAAAGTTAGTTGGTGGTGGAGCGATCAACAACGCAACGAATATTGCTGTACCACCACCGCCGATGGTTCGGTTTAAAGCATCAAGTAAGTATTTATTTTAATACTTTAGTTTAATCATAATTCACTATTATTAAAGCATTATATTAATATTTGTTTTTATCAGCATCGAATGTAAAAAAGACAAAAGCACCGCTCATGGCAAAGGCATTACAGCTAATAAAGGGGCGTTACAAGCGGTAGTGGAAGCGGTAATTTTACCAATATTTAGAGATCCATTGATCTCATGCAATTTCAATAAATAGTAAAATTGTACATTTCATCATCGTTTCGTATGCACAGGCGTTTATATCGTTTTTATATCGATCGCGATCTCGATATAGCAATGAATCCATGAATCTTTTGCATAATATTTTTTTTTAATATTCATGCTCACAAAATCGTATGTAACAATTTCTAATATACATAAGTAATCGCATATAATTATTCAGTTATATAAAAACTTATCATCTTATTTATTCCAGTTGAATGCAATTTGTAGAAAGGCATAAATAATTTCCAACAGCCATGGTAAACTTTTCTTTAGTAAGGAATTATATTAACAATTTATAGCTGTATAAATTTCTTTTCTTGAAGAGTGTTTTTTTAATCTTTGTATATACAGAATGTTTCGCAACCTTCATATAACATTTTAATAGCGTTAAGATTGGCTCAAAAAGAATTTTTTTTTTTTTATGTACAATTGTTTTCAGATATTACATTGTATTTCCAAGCTATATAATCTGCCAGTGACAGTACAACATCTTCAAGAGACAGGAGTAGGAAGGACTGTGAATAGTTTCAGAAAATATGATGGTAGTGTAGGTGATGCTTCTAAGGCTTTAGTTTACAAATGGAAAAGAATGGTAGCAGATGAAGATAGCAGTGATGGAGAAGATGAGGATGAAACTTGTGTACCTGATGTTCACGAAAGTTACACTGATAACCAAGAATCACCAAAGCTAGAAGATATAGGGGAGAACAGCTCATTGTCTGATCAAGCATCAAACTTAAAACATGTGTATAAGGAAAACAAAAGTGAGCCATCTACAAAACACAATATAATACATTCATCCAAGTCAAAATCCGAGGAAAAGCATGAAAAAAGTGGACACTCTTCCAAACATCGTTCACAGAGTGAAAAGAAGTCTAAGGAATCAAAAAACAGTAAAAGTAGCCTAAAAGAAGAAGCCCACAGTTCAACAAATGATTATCCTAGTGGCAATGATAATCCAAAAAAAATGAGTGACAAGATGGCTGAAATTAATGAAGATAATAACAGAAAGAGAAAAGTAGATAACTCAAATTCCTCGATAAAAGAAAACAAGAAGAGAAAACTGTCAAATAGCAAAATTGATGATGAGAAATCTGAATTATCCATTTCAGAAAAGAATCATTCCCATCCAAAATCTTCTGGAATTGAGATAGAGGTAAAAATTAAAGCAAAAGATGAACAGTCTTTAGCAAGTGAAAAAAACAAACAAGATGATAAACAGAAAAAATATTTGCAGGAGAAGTCCAGGAGTAGTTCTAATAAGCTTAAATCTGACGAATCAGGCAGTAAAGCAAAGGACAATAGTGAAAAACAAAAACATAAAACAAAAGAACATGCAAGTCATAATAAACATGATAAAAAAAAGGATTCCAGTCATCATTCTAGCAAAGAAACTTCCAAGTCAAGAGTTAGTTCCTCTAGTAATAAGGATCCTGTTAAGAGTAAAGATGGGGACAAGAAAAAGGAGCACAAAGAGGATAAGAATAAACATGAGAAGAAAAAAGAAACAAAGATTAGGTTAATGCAGGAAATAAAAGGCGATGAAGGAATAGATTGCAATTCTGGTGTGTTGAAGAAATGATTTGTATCAATTATTCATTTGTTTATAATAGTTTTACTATGTCAAGAAATGTAAAATGCGCAATTTTTGTTATATTATGGTCGATCTTGACTGATTCGACAAATTTTTGAGATAATATGCTAAATGAAGGCAAGCAATTCAAGATCTCTTTTTTTTTTAGTTTATTTTTTTATATTTATTTCAAACCTTATTTCTAATTGCACAAAATAGATTATGATATCAATTAATATTTTGTTTTTTCAAGATATAAAATTATAGATTATAAATTCAAACACTATATTGCAATATTTCAAATCTCATTAATGGTAATGTATGATACACACATACACAACACATACACACATACATATATATATACACACAAACATAACATACATATATTATGATTAATTATAGTTTTTATAAATATAGAAACTTATGTTTCATATTATTTAGCATGTTGTTGCCCTCCCCAGAAGTTATAAGAAATATATTTTTACATGCAAACTATGCATCTAAGAAATACTGCCTTCAAAGTTGATAACACATAAATAAAATATGTAAATTGATAAGCACATGTTCAATTTTTAATTATGATTTGCAACAACTTTTATATGAGAAGTTTAATTATAGATCATCTAAGAATATATAAATAATCGAGAACATAATACTTTAGTTTAATCATAATTCACTATTATTAAAGCATTATATTAATATTTGTTTTTATCAGCATCGAATGTAAAAAAGACAAAAGCACCGCTCATGGCAAAGGCATTACAGCTAATAAAGGGGCGTTACAAGCGGTAGTGGAAGCGGTAATTTTACCAATATTTAGAGATCCATTGATCTCATGCAATTTCAATAAATAGTAAAATTGTACATTTCATCATCGTTTCGTATGCACAGGCGTTTATATCGTTTTTATATCGATCGCGATCTCGATATAGCAATGAATCCATGAATCTTTTGCATAATATTTTTTTTTAATATTCATGCTCACAAAATCGTATGTAACAATTTCTAATATACATAAGTAATCGCATATAATTATTCAGTTATATAAAAACTTATCATCTTATTTATTCCAGTTGAATGCAATTTGTAGAAAGGCATAAATAATTTCCAACAGCCATGGTAAACTTTTCTTTAGTAAGGAATTATATTAACAATTTATAGCTGTATAAATTTCTTTTCTTGAAGAGTGTTTTTTTAATCTTTGTATATACAGAATGTTTCGCAACCTTCATATAACATTTTAATAGCGTTAAGATCGTTAAAAGACTAATCGGTATGCGCGTATGTATAGTTACACATCTAGCGCACGAATTCTACGCGATGTCATTAGCAAACTTTAATCACTCGTAAATCAAAAACTATTACAGCTTTAAAATTTTTGTAATTAGAATTTTTTTATTTTATTTTATTTCTAGAATACGTTATTAAAGTATTGTACAAAGGTTGTAAGATACTCTGTATATCTAGATTCATGAATAGATAGATATAAAAAGATAAATAGACGAAATGGTTACTCATTTTTAGATTTAGAAATTCTTGGGCGGACTCATACATATTTTTGGATCTTAAATTCTTAGATTCTTGAAGTGTAAAATTTATGGATTGTATTTTAGCAATTCATGTGTCAAATATTGATTCGGGAACAACGTGGAAACGTATTCCCCATGTGTTAGATGTTGCTGTGATTTTGATTTCGATTTCTTTAGACATTTTTAATGTATACATTTTGTAAATATTATATTGTGAGACAAGAGATATAGGGACAACTATAGATATGTAATTAATCAATATACTTTGCTTAAATTATGCTATTTTGATATAAAGATTTCTTATAATCTTCTTTTATTATCTCGTGGCTGATATATAAATTTAAAATAAAAAACAATACACACACACACACACACACGATATTCCATTTACAAGATGTGATTTAATTAATGTAAACTAATTTTTTATTTTGCATCTCGAAAAGTATTAAATTGGAATTGATTTATATATATATATTACATATATATGTAATATTGTAAATAGTTTGCCAAAAAAACGTCTTTTCACTGTATGTTAAATAAAAAAAAATTGTTTTATTTAGTTTTTTTAGATATATGAACCAGTAAACCAGTAAAAAAATACACTGTATTGTTCTAATTATATATATTATATAATATAATATATAATA